GCGACAAAGATGAGAACAATAGTCCAAATAATGTAAATAATGTAATGGTAATGAACAGTTTTGATGTCCATCTTTGTCAACATAAAAAACTTTATTGCATAGCGAGTTTCCAAAGTGTCTTTACGTCCCGATTGCATTCTGCAAACTGGTCAGCTGTGACAAGCAGTGTTCAATGGTGTGTGCGCGCAAAGAGTTGTGGCCATCATCTTCAATCTGCTTATTAAATGTGTAGTAATGATATATCAGATCATTGTAAAAGTTTGTGACATAAAGGTAAAGGATGAAAATTGTATTTTCGCCATATCATTTCGCTCTCTGAATTTTCGAAAAGAGTAAATATCGACGAAAATACATACAGAAAGTTTATTTAGATCGTTTTCCAGCTCTTCGAACGTTCAGAAAATAGTTTGTCAGATATCGTCAGTGTGATTTTACCTAAAACGATCAACTACGCTACGGGTGACCTCCTGAGGTCGATGAAGAGTCACTGCTTGCCATCCTGGAAAATAAACCGAAGATTTCGACAGAAGAGATTACTAAGACTTTGCCTTTCGCCATTTGCAGAGACTTCGATTTTGGCAAATCAAAAAGGTGCCATTTTCCACCACGGCAACGCAAAAACAAACCTTGCAAAAGATTAAAGAGTTCAAAATGGGAACGCGCCCAACACTCACCGTATTCTCCTGATTTGGTTCGTTCGGATCTTCATTAGTTCCGCTCTCTGCATAACAATTTAATTGACAAAAAGATGAAGGATGAAAAGTTGTACTTTCGCCATATTATGATCTATGAATTTCTGTAAGGAGTAAGCGACGGAACTGCGATAAACAAAAAATATTAAAATTTCGTCAGGATGATTTGAGCCTAAACAATCAAACATACTCCAGACAGCTTTCCGACGTCGATGAAGACGCTCTTCTTGGCATCGTGGAGAATAAATCAAAGGTTTCGACGGAAGAGATTGCTAAGAGTTTGAAAATTGATATCGCATCTGCCTTTCGCTACTTGAAGAGATTTAGGTTCGTTACTAAACTCGACACGTGGGTGACAAATTCTCTGACGGAACAGAACAAACTCGATCTTATTTCTGCGACAATTCCTTTGCTTTTAAGGTCACGAAAAGGAGCCATTTTTGGACAAAATTGTTACAGGCGATGAAAAATGGCTATTCTATGATAACGTTCGGCGTAAACGGAGTTGGAAATAAGTTTGTGGATGTGTAGAACCCGTGACTAAATCCGATCTGTAAGTTGTTGCTGCCCGTTTGGTGGGATTACAGAAGGATAATTCACTTTGGGCTTTTCCCAGCCGGCGAAACTATAAATGCAAAGAAATATTGGAACCAAGTGATCAATCTTAAGGCGGCTATTCAAGAAAAACGGTGGTTTTTGGCAAATCTGTGACACTATTTGACTTGCTAAAAGGGAGAAAGGAAAAAAGAAAAAGGAAAAAAAAAAAGAAAGGCGAGAATTAAAATTAGGTGATAAGAAGTCATCACGAAAAGGACACTAAGCGGTGTTATTTTTCTGACAAGGAAAAGTGGTAAAATTTTTATTTTTCCATTGTCGAGAAGGTAAAAAGGAAGATACTGGAATTAATCTGATTTAGGTTACGGGGCGGGTGGAAATCACAGGTTGGCCAAATAACCTCAGAGACAAAATTCTAAATAGATAAAAATTAACCGAGTCGTAAAAAAAAAAAAAAAAAAAAAATGTCCATTTGGACCACACAAAGTTACAAAAGCAAAAGACCAAACAATTAATTATCTAAAGGAAGGTCATTTGAAAAAGTCATCTGTTTTGTGTCGAAAACTGGCTATGGTGGCGAAATTATTTTATCAGGAATAGATAACGCCAGAATGCGAAACGTCTAATTGACCACCCACTTGATAATTGGCGAAAATCTCGTTGACGACTTCGATATTAAATTCGACTGTGGTGGCAAAATTGTTTTATCGGATCAGTGGTTGGCGCCAGAAGTGTGGGTACGTCTGGTTGACCACCCACTTGTTAATTGGCGAATCACCAAAAGGTTAGAACGTCACATTTGGTGCCGCGACCAATACCAAGCCAGTTGGTCGTCACAAGACAGGATAGCACGACTGACGCAACCAGGCGGACGTCACAATTGGCGCAGCGACACCGGGGGGACGTCACAAATCAAAAAGATGTCATTTTCCACCACAACAACGTAAAGACCGTATGTGGAACTAAAACAGACCTTGTAGAAGCTTAGAATTGAAATGGGAAACCCTCCAGCATCCACCGTATTCTCCTGACTCGCCCCAATACGGATATTCATTTTTTTTTATCGATCTATAATAAACAATTTAAATGACAAAAATAACTCTCTACAGTCAGTCGAAAACTACTTCACAACATTCTTCCAACAAAAAAACGCGAAGGTTATATGAAAATAGCATAAAAAAGGTTGTAGAATGGTGGGAGACAGTTGTTGAAAATTAGGTACTCAACAAATAAATGTTTGTTTTTGTATGTAAAATTTTGTTTATTCATTTTTTAATCGGTCACGAAATTTTGCAATGTGCTAATATTAAAATTAGAATAATCCAGGCCAGTTATATCTGAAATGCACCGCGTAAAATCCTAATTTATTTACATTTTTCTTTCATCTTTTTTCCACTTGTGGTCTTTATAAAAAGCAACTTATTAGGGCGTATCAAAAGCATTTTTGTTTTTTACAGACTTACACCAACACTTATTTCACGCGTACATCTAAAGACGAGCTATGACTACCTATATAGTTATAGTTGGTTCACATTAGTAAGATTATTATGTTTACCGTATCAGTATCATTACTATTCAGCCGATCCTTTTGTTTCAGATATTATCATAGTGGGTACAAGTATCCAGAATTCGAGAATTGGCAGCAAATGAGAAAACAAACACAGAGACAACAAAAAACAAACCCGACTCTACTGCCCAAAACTGGTGAAACCTTTTAATGGTTGTGATTTGTCCCTTGAAATAAAGTCCAGAATAGAAAACATAACAGTTGTCGATTACGATGCTTTAAAACGCAAGAAGAGAAACGAAAAAAGTTGACACCCTGACTAACACGAGCGTACCAAGTGAGTAAATCTTATCTGCTAAAGTCTTTGAAAAACTAAGCAAATATAAAATAACTGGAAATGAAAAAAAAAAATTGTGGTACTTAAAATCTATTCCTGTTGTGGTTGGAGCTGATAAGGAAAAGAATTCAATTGACATTATTTACATCATTCAAACTGTTGCTCTCATCTTTATTGCTATATTCACGACGTTTCGGCCGTTGCACGCTACGGCCTTCTTCAGGTAATATACGCTGGAATTTCAAACTGTTGCTCTCATCTTTATTGTTATATTCACGGCATTTTGGCCGTTGTACGCTACGGCCTTCTTCGTTGGAATTTCGAACTGAACCTTTTATTTAGTGAACGAGGGTAGATTATTCTAATTCCACGTGTCATGCCTCTTTTGGATATCTCAGTTTCAGTTAATTTCCTTTAGTAAGTCAACTTTCCAAATTTTTGTTCACCTCTGCTGTATTGAACTCACAACTCTTTGGGTGAAATCACTCTTTGGATTACACAATTTTATCCTCTGGGCCATGTGTTCATGGGGACCACAGTCCAAACGATGTAAAGAGAGTAAATAGTTACAATACCTCATCTCAGAAATAGAGACAAAATTCCTGTTTGCATCTAGGAAATCTGATGAACACAGCCAATGTCCCGCGAAAACTTTGTCCAGTTAAGTTCTTTTTCATTGATAGTTGTCTTTTGTTTAATTAAGTGGTAACAACCAAAATGACATCGTTCACTTGACCTAGGTCAAAGGTTATGACCCGGCATGTAATTATAAAAAAAAGGTGAAAAAGAATTAAAAATGATAGAATAAGAATAACAGTCTTTAGATATGTCCATCAAATAAGTTTGGAGTGAAAGTCTATAAAAAAATGAAGAAAGTACTTTAAGGTAATCCTTAATAAATATTTAAGTCAAGGCACAAACAGCAACCACACACACCCAAACACAGACATACACACGTGTGCGCTCATAGACAAACACACACACATGCAAACACACACAAAGCATAAGAAAAGTAGAGAATAAATAAAATGATAAGTTCATTAAATAATATTATCATTTAAACGTCTATCTATTTGAAGAATTAATGAAATCTAACTACAGACCACCAGATGTGCAAGAAGTGCTGGAATTTAAGTACGGATCAACAGATGTATAAAAGATGCTGAAATTTAACCAGGGACCACACGCACACACATACACACACACACATACACGCACACACATACACACGCACACATACACACACACACATACACGCACACACATACACACACACACATACGCACACACATACACGCACAGCATATTTATAAGAAAAGTAGATAGATAAAATGATGATTTCGTTAAATAATATAATAATTTAAGCGTGTGTCTATTTGAAGGCCTAATGAAATTTAAGTACAGAACATCAGATGTACAAGAGGTGCTGAAATCTAAATACACACCACCAGATGTACAGAAGTTATTAACATTTAAATACAGATCAACAGATATAAAAGAGGTGCTGAAATCTAAGTACACACCACCAGGTGTACAGGAGTTCATTTATGTGTCATGCGTGATACACGCTTAGGCGATCATGTATCTTTCCATACATGACTGACGAGGAAGATTTTTCCCTCATTAGGTTTCTTTTTGCGGTAGACCAGTTGCCATCCAAGGCTGGATGTCGATTAACCCATAGATGGGGGGGTAGAAGAAGAGGACTCATACCTTTCCCTTTTATCGAATGTTATATTAATTATTATTAATTTAAATAATAATTAATATAACATTTGATTTTAATGCATTGAAAAAGAAGGTGAATATATTCAAAATTTAATATTTGTTGTGCAAATAAAAACTTTATTTCATCATGTCGTCATTGTAATCTTGCGCTGATTTAGTTTTTAACTTACTGTTAATTTAGTTTAATTTGGAGTCGAAATATCTATCTATCTATCTATCTATCTATCTATCTAAATCTGTTTATCTGTGTCTCTATCTATGTTCGTCTGGTCATTATCTATCTATCTATCTATCTATCTATCTATCTAAATTTTTGAATATATATCCAATCGAGTTGTTGCAAAAGAATTTATGTTGTTGATTATACAAACTCATAAGCACCTCAGCGAAAGAAAAAGGTCGGAATGAGGAAGTGTAAAAAGCGAAAAAAAGAGAAATTTGCTGAATTGTATGTACATAAAATATAAGAGTGAATAATATTGCGGTGAGTGTGGGTGTATGGCAAGATTTTTAGGCGCGTACACCTACAGATGTGTGTGTCTCTGAAAGTGGTCTGCTTCGTAGTGGTGGTTCCATGATTACACCATGTAGCATTACAAGCGTAATGGCGCTGGTGATTAACGACATTCCGTGCTTGTAGAAGTGAAAGAGTGAGGAAGCGGTGAGAGGAGGACGAGAAATGAGAAAGAGAGAAAGAGAGAGAGAGAGAGAGAGAGAGAGAGAGAGAGAGAGAGAGTTGTGTGTCGATGGAGAGGAGGCAGAAATGGTAATATGCAGAGATTATCACTTGGAGCGTATTCAGAGATTCAGAGAAAGGATTTCTTTATGCATTTCATTCTCCTATTTTTATGCCATTATTCTTTCTCTGGAGGTTGGCGACAGGCATAATTCCTTCTTGCTTGCATAGTTATTTATTTTCTAGAACATTCTATGAATTTTGTCTAACTTTATATTTTCTTCTTTTCTTCAAAAATCATACTTTTCCTTATTTCTTCATTCATTTTTTTTCTTTTTAATATCGTTTATTATGTTCTCTTTTTAATTTAATTTTCATTTTATTCTCTTATGTTTAGTTTTCTCTTTTTTCTTACAGCTTTTCAGTCCATTTTTATTATTTAATAACTTTTAGCTATTTAGTATTCTATTTTCTTTCTTTCTTTCTTTCTTTCTTTCTTTCTTTCTTTGTAATCCCATGTTTGTTTTACGTTTCCATTTTTTCTATCTTCCTTCCTTCCTTCCTTCCTTCCTTCCTACCTTCATTCCTTTGCTTTTCTGTTTGTTGTACTTTCAATTTTATTCTTTCTTACTTTTTTCTTTTACAATCCCATGTTTATTGTACTTTACCATTTCTTTCTTTCTTTCTTTCTTTCTTTCTTTCTTTCTTTCTTTCTTTCTTGCTTTCTAATCCTCTTTCTTGTACTTTCCATTTTATTCTTTCTTTCTTTCTTTATTTCTTGCTTTCTTTCTTTCTTTCTTTCTTTCTTTCGTTTTTCTTTTCTTTGTTCTCTTTTTGTCATTTTTGATTTTACTGTTTATCCTTTGTTTTATTTTTTGAAAATTTTTCATTTTCATTAATTTTATTGTTTATTAATTTTTATTCTCACCAAGCACCTCATATCTATCTATCTATCTATCTATCTATCTATCTATCTATCTATCTATCTATCTATCTATCACCTAAGCAATACCTAAGAAAAGACGTAAGGGAAGAAAATTATTCCAACAAATCTATAAAACCAGACATATTTAAAAATGCCGTCACCTATGTTGAGGAACAACTTGCGTAATTTAAATTATTTCTTTTGTATGATAATAGCTTCGATTATCTTTCTTTACAGTGAGTACTGCATTGTATTTTACTAATGTCTACTAATATTTGTCTAGTGTTGATATTTGTACTTTGGTTGTGCTTTATTATATAATAGTCGATATATGTTAGAATTTCACTAAAACTTGATAAATTGCAAGTTTGCCTACGTGAGAGTGCAATGGTTGTGTTACCAATATGAAAATTCCGTTTTAGAATTAATATTAGAGATGTAATCTCCTGGTGAGCCCAAGTATATATAAACAACATAGTTTTCACACAGCGAGCTTTTTTGTGACCTTGTTCTATTGGTGACGCAAAGGTTTTTTTTCTATGTGCCATCATCGCCTCTGTACTGAAGAGAGTTTTGATATGTCCTTGTGGGTGTCAAATTCTCTTAGCCTTTGTTCCTCATTGTACGTCCATGAAATTTCAACTGTCTATTTCTGGTTCTGAGTATAGGTGTCTTTTTTGTTGCTATTTTTCTTAAGATTTCAACGTTACTTATGCACACCATCTATGGTATTCCTATCATCCTTCTGTAGACCGTATTTCTGCTACTTTCAAGTTTTTCTTCATCTGAGAATTATTATTCAGTGGAGGATTGATATTACATAATCGTTCAGCACTCTTTTCTTTGTTTTCTGTTTCTTTGTAGTTAGTTTTAAATATTATGTAATAAATTATATATTTCAAGAATTTAGTACAATCATTGTCTCATAAGCTTATCATTATCTATCTATCTATCTATCTATCTATCTATCTATCTAATTTTCTACATGTTGTAGAATCAGATTCCTACATTTTTAAAAAATCTCAAATTTTGTGCATGTTAAACACGTAGAGGCTCCAAACGAAGTATAAATACTGATGCATTCTGATTGATTGAAAAATATTAATTAGGTGTCGTCACAAAATGTAAACATGTTCACGATCCACCCACGTGACCAAGAGAACTAATAAAGACGAAACTTCGACGCGACTTGGTCAGTGGGCCCTTAAAATATTGAACTCATTCACTTGACTTCATTTGGAATTCAACACAGTAAAGGAGACGAACCAAATTCTTCCACACGACAACGATCCTTCTCAACAATTCCAGGCTTAACGTTAATTACTAAAATTAACATAAATCCAGCTTGCGAAAGAACGGTCACTCCCACAAAATATTCTATTCCACAACAAGCATCTCCGGTAAAAGAGTGACAACTCTGTAAAAATTAGTGAGTCAAGAACAATATCTTTTTTTTTTCTATTTAATACAAAAAATAACTGTTTAATTTCCCTGCAACAACAAATATACTTAACTACACCTTCTCATTTTCGTACAATCAGTTCAGCAACTTAAATTCTTTCAGTATCACACACCAAAGAACTCTAAAATGTTTTAACAAATTTAGCATCATATATTTTGTATTTTTTGTGTTTTATAAAAAATACTTATTGTCGATCAATTTCTTCTACTTGATTATTTCTCTTGTTGTTGTTGTCTTTGTGACATTTGATTTAGTAAAAATAATAGAGGGTTAGTTTTATTTGTATTTATAACCAATACAGATTCGCTAAGACACTATAATGTCAAGCTAAGTTTATTTATATCAATGTATCTATGGTAAAACGATATATAAGTTTTTATATATCAAGAACAGTTCCAAGGAAAAACTAAAGTGTTAAATGTTTTCGTGTGACGCTTTTCGTTCTTCACGATTTCATTGGATTAAAAAGTGTTGATGCGACTGCAAATGCGCACGAAGAAAAGGAGACGCTGAGGATTTTAAATTTAAATTATTATTTTTTTTAATGTATGTTTTGGATAAATAGTAAAGCGAAGCCATTCCCGACCACCAGGTTGTACAGAAAGAATAAAAACTTTTTATTGACTATCGCGGTCTTGTTTATTGTGTTTTGTCATGCGCGTGACCGACACGACCCCCCACCTCCCCGCATGACATCGGTTCGTGATACAAAAAGTTTGGGGACCGCTGGTCTAGCTGATTAAATTTAGATTCATTTTGTTTATGTTTTCATAACTTTTATCATTAAATGTTGCACATTGTGATATAGACGATCGCCAAGAATGGTGAAATGTGGATAATCTTATAGTGGGTTATCAGTTATAGTGAAGTGTATGAGTGTTGAAACAGATTAGTTTGATTTGGCCTTGTTAGTTAGATAGCCCACCATAAGAGGGGTATAAAACAAGAAAATCAAATTGTAAAGTGAAATCAATTACAGTCTCTACAAATAAAATTAATGTATTTTGGTTGATACAAGGTCGTCAAAATAGTAGTAGTAGTCCTTGCAAGAATGAGTTTATGTATACGTAGGTAGGAATGTATGTGTGTATGTAAGTATGTATGAGCGTTATCGTAGGATAGGAATGTCTTTGAAGTAAGCGCGCAGTCTTAAAATGTTCCCTTCTTTTATCAAGTATAAAAGAGGTGAGGTAGAGATAATAATAACGATCGCTTGACGTTTGTCAATGGACGTGTTAATACGCTCGTCTCCTTCTTTCTGGTGACAGGAGAACTTCCCCGTCTTTTATTTTGTTTGTGGGGCTTGAAAAGATCATTTGGGAATTCACTCCCAGATTTGATTCGGGCCTTTCCATTGGACAACGAACAAACTTCGCGTCGGCTCGCGAAAAGGTCCTTAAAAGAAATGTTTCTGAGAATTGAAGATTATTGGAATTTTAAAAAAAAATCTTTCCTAGTTTTCTATTGACCGAAAAACATCTTGTATCAAGGTGTGAAATTTCACGAGTTTTGTTTTGGACTCGCTTTTGCGTGTGTGTTAAGCAAAGTTTGTAAATTCGAGTCTTTTTAATTTCTAACAAAATCAATGAGTCAGTGCTTAGCATTTGAATTTTAAATCTAGATCTTGTTTTGTTCACTACAATCTAACGATTTAAGCACTTTCTCTACATTTTCGTCTTAGTAAATTACTTTACATTTTAATTAGAGTATCTATCTATCTATTTATCTATCTATCTATCTATCTATCTATTCTTTTAGTTTATCATTTCACTGAACAATCTTCCTTCAAAGACTACTGTGAATTAACTATCAAAATAAAAGCAGTACAATTATTAGTTTCCCTTGAGAATTCTAAGGCTTTTTGACGAGGAAAGAATGTCTGGAGAATTTAACACTCACTGGACATATTGAAGACAAGAATGGCATCAAATAATCTTGTGTAAATGAATGGCAGAACAGAGAGTAAAGCGACATATATTGCTAACAGCTACAAACGATAGGAAATAGTGGAGAGCTATGATCGCTAAAATTCTCTTCTTAATTGCATTTCTTGTGCATATTTGAAACAAACATAAAACCATATTAATAAATTTTAAATAAATTATTTATTTTTGAAATGTTTTATCCTTTCGACGTAACGCCTTAGATTTTTCAAGGGAAATTGATAAAGTAAGCTGCCATTTTAAGATTATGCCAAGTTCCTCAAACTACAATGGGAATTCTTCTATCAGAAACACTTGACGTGAGGCGAATCACTTGAAGGCATTGAATAGTTCTGAATATATACAATGCCGAATATAAATATATTATTAGCTTTAATATTTAATAAGCAAGAAGAAAAGACAACGAAAATCAACATGATGAACAAAATATTTTTATGTCTAAAAATGTTATATTTGAAAAATTTCTTATTCACTTTCCCGCCCCCGAGAAATTTGATTATTTATTCATGTCAGGATCCAGTTTTGCTTTGGATCAGATATCTTTGGACGCATTACTTTTGATTTTGATTGTTAATGTTCAGTAGTCTTTGAAGGCAGATTGCTAAGCGAAGCGAAACACTGAAGAAAAAATAGAAAAATGTTTCCACTTTGGCATAGTTTTTATTTCCCTAAAATTGTTCTTGATGTATAAAAAGTATATATCATTTTCCCATAGATAGATAGACAGATAGTAAGTATAAAGGAAAAAAAAGACAATAGAAAAACTATAGTTTTAGACGCGTTTCGTCCAATGTGAACTTTTTCAAGGCAAAAAATGAAATGAATTTATTGAAACAAAGAATCTATAAACAACAAACAAAATGTCGTTAGAAACTAGAAGAATTTAGAAAGGCTATTGTATATTATATGGCCAACAGAAAAATTACGTCAATTACTTTATGTTTGAAGAGAATATTTTCACATAATGTTTGTATTGTTGTTTTGGTGGATTCAATCGTTTTCTTTTGATTTCTAAATATATTTGTTGTGTAGGTTGGCTTGGGAAGAGTGGTGATTGTTTTTGGAAAGGTGATATGGGAAAAATCTGGGCGTAGATTAATATTTGGATAATATTAAATGGCCGCACTCTCGAGGATTTTCCTTCTGAGTAAATTATTTTCTTTTTTTTTTATAAATTCATTTCGTTTCTTCCTTGAAAAAGTCCATATTGGACGAAACGCTTCGGCTAAAACTACAGTTTTCCTATTGTCTTTTTTCTTTTATACATATTGTCTTTTTCTACAGGTTAATTCTGAGAATTTTTTTACAGATAAATAGATAGCCAATGAAGAGCTTATCACGTATTGATTATACTAAATGCCTAAAATTTGTAATTTATTACAATATTTAAAACTAAGTACTAAGAAATAGGAGACAAAATAAAGAGTGTTGAAGTGTTATGTTATATCAGTCCTTCTATATGGCATTGAATAATGGATTGTCTCCTTACAAAGATAAAACTGAAAGCAACAGAAATATGGTTCTACAGAAGGATGATGGGAATAGCATAGGCGTACGCAATGAAAAAGACTTAAGATAAAATAACAACAAAAACACACTTATACTCAGAATCAGCAACTGACAACTGCCGTTTCTTGGATATATAATAAGGAAAGAAGGCTTGGAGACGTTGACAAAAACATTCATAAATAAATAATTTATTTAAAAATTATTAATGCAGTTTCATTTTTCTTATAAATGTACTTAAGTCTGTATACGCTTTAGAAGAAAATTTGACCGATGATAGCTCTCCACTATTTCCTATGCCTTCTTATTATCCTTCTTATTCCCTATTCGGTCATCCATTTTCACAAGCTTCTTCCCCTCTTCATGTTCCTCATGCCTTCAATATGTCCTGTGAGTGTCAAAATCGCCTAACACACCTTTTACTCATTTTGTATCCAAGAAATTACAACTCTTTCCGATATTAACTATAGATGTTTTTTTGTTCCCATTTTCCAACAAACTTCCTCATTGTTCACATGTCTCGTTCATGTTATTCTCATTATCCTTCTGTAGAAGCACATCTCTGTTGTCTCAAATCCCCATTTCATCCAGCATTCACTGCCAATATAGGAAGATTGATATTACGTAGCAGTTCAGTACTTACTTTTTTTTGTTTCTAACCAAATTTTCATGATTCTTAATACTTTCTTTGGCTTTTGGAAGGCATCCTTCGTAATTCTAATGCGATTTCAGATTTCGATTTTATCATTTCCGTCACCAGTTAAAAAACTCCCCAGATAGTAAAATTTCTCTACTTGCTTGACTTCAAGTCTCCAGTTCGTAACTTGCACTTTTTTCTTTTAATTTTCCTTAAAAAAACTTCCACGTTATTCTATTCTTCCGTGTATGGCATTCTCAGCAACTGTCAGTAGAACATCTTCGAGGTCTCAGACAACCAGTTTATTTGTGAAAAAATTGCCCAGTATTCACTACTATACAGGAGGATTGATATTCTATAGCAGTTCAGCGCCCTTCTTTATTGCTAACAAAATTTTCTCGTTTCTTTATACTTTGTCTAGCTGTTGAAAGCCAGCTTTCGCCATTCCAATGTATTTTTGAATTTCTTTCTCACGTTTTCCGCCGTCTGTTAAAGCCCTTTCCAGATACTTAAAATGTCTGTACTTGTTTGATTTTGATTTTGACGTGTTCAATTCGTAACTCACATTTTAGAGTGTTCCTGTCACTGACGACACTACCGTTATGTTTTCTTATAAATGATCGTTAGTTCTTTCCTTTACCATATTGACTAATAGTTAGTTTCCTTTCAACACGGTGCCATATGCGTGTCTTACACTATTAATATTGTGTCTGCCAATAATAAATTCTGCTAGGAACTCAAGTTCTGTTACGACCGCTTCACGTCATGGTAGACGGTATTTCTATGCAATGACATTCTTACAGTCTTCCATTCGTCCAGGCTTAGAACATTGCTGCCATATATGGTTCGGGGTTCCTGCTATCTATCTAGAGCCCCTTGATAAAATTCAAAGTATTATTGACCCAGATCAGGCTTCTCGGCTTCAGCCACTTACCCATCGCCTAAGGTTGCCACTCTTTGCTTTTTTTACAGGGTGCGATGGATAAATTGTCGTCTAAATTATGCAAAAATAAAAATAACACTGACATCTCATTTTAACAGATATACTTACCAAAATTACATAAAATATCTTAAATACTAAAGAGCAAATTTATTCAGTAAAATCGTCATTGGTTTCAAACACGGCCTCCAGAGGACTTTGGAATCTCTTGCAACTCTTGTGGACGGTCTCCTTGTTTATGTTGGTGAATGCTGCCATAATCCTTGCCTTCAGTTCATCTTTGGTGTTACAAAGAGTTTTGTTGGTCTCTCGCTCAACTGCACCCAAGGCATAATAATAAAGGGGGTTGGTGTCTGGGGAGGTAGGTAGTCAGATGTAAGGGGTGATGTGGCCTCGGAAATTGTCTGACAGCCATGACTGGGTTCTCCTGTTTTCGTGTCATAGTGCAGAGTTCTGTTGCCATACATAGGGTCTTCCAGCAGTCACACTCTTCATCCAGGGCAGCACTAGCACCTCAAGGCACCTGATGTAGTCCTCCCTATTGACTCTGCAGACCCGTGGGAATATGAATGAAGGCATAACGTCGCCATTACTAGTGATCATTCCAAACACCATGATGTTGACTGGATATATCATTCAACTCTTTTCGAATCCTCTGCATTATCCTCAGAGAAAAACTCTGAAATATTTATATTGCAGCTTCCGGCGTGAATGCTAAGTAGTACAGCATTCCATTTCCAAATTTCTAGCGGAGTGAATTGCGCTATGGTGCCTAGACTCTTCGAATTTAAGCGCAGTACTGGCGAAGAGGTCTCACCAATTTACAGTCGAGCTGGCTAGATGTAACCGTAAATTTCATGCTAACAGTTTCTTATCTCGCACTTCTTGCTTGTGGAACTCCTTTCCTGTTCCATGCTTTCCAGCTAACTTTAATATGCAACAATTTAAAAGCAATGTCAATTGCTATCTACTGTATTCTTCCTCTGTTCTTGGTCCTTAGCAATGTTTCTGTTTCTAAATTTTCCACTTCCATCAACCCACTTGTATCTCAGTGGCTTTACTGCCTTGCTTGGGTGAACTTTATTTTAAAAACATTGCGTTCAGAAGGTATATCATTCTTTTACGTCTGATCCTGTTTTTTGTACCTGCTCATTTTCTACCTGTATTGAAGTTCTAAAACATTATATTATCGTGATTTAATTGCTTTGATAATTTAACATCTTAGCGACGAATATATATATATATATATATTATTGTGAGACCGGAAACTATCTACACAATAGACTCTTCCAGGCCTATATTAAGTAGGCGACATAGCACTCTAGAGAGTGACAGAGAGTGACAGAGAGAGACAGTGAGAGTCTAGTACGACTACCAGTGTTGGACACTAACTTATAGTAAGCTCCGCTTACACTATCTCTGTAACCTGTTGTTAATATATCTTTCTTACATCTAATCCGTGTTCCGTGTTTTACTTCTGTGGTCCCAACTTTGGCCCCACATCAGTGGTGACGAGGATTCTAGAAACGCACTCACGGCGAAACCTAAATACTTCACCAGTTCCACATCTGTGTCGACGAAGAATTCGAGAAACGCATTCACGTCGAAAAACCGCAATACTTTGTCAGTCCCACAACAGTGGCAACAGAAAGATTCGAGAATTTCGTTCTCCCCATATCAATAGCGACAGAGTACTCGAAAAATACACAGAAACTCCACACGTTCCCACAGC